CATCGATAAGGCTAAGCCTGATCTGACACCAGGCACAACAGAGTTCACCAGACATTATCGTCTAGATGTGGAAAGAGCCCGCGCGAACTTGTTCAAAGCCCAAAAGGCTATGATTGAACAAGCTAATCACCACTGACGGCCTTCCCCCATCCGCACTTGTGACCATGTCTGGGTGGCCAGCTCTGAGCTGTCGAGGGAGGAGGATATCTCTCCCAAGTTGTTGCCACGTTACTTGGGTCCATGGCAGGTCCTAGATACAGTGGGCGCTGATCCCTTCGGTCCGTCGTATGTCATCGACGTCCCGCTGCATCTACGTACCTATTCAGTCTTCCATGCATCCAAGCTGCTGCCTTTCACCCCAGCTGATGCATTCCCAGACCGGCCCCCTCAGTTTGGTCCGCCAATCCCTGGTAAGGGATATGACATTGACCAGATTGAGGATGAGTGGGGCACAGACCCCGATCGGCAGTATCTTGTCAGGTTTGCTTTTCAGCCTCCTTCTGAGAGCCGATGGTTCTACAAAAGAGACTTGATCAAGGCAGCAAAGTCTATTGTGTTGCTATATGAAGCGGCTCAGAAGGGCAACCTTCCTCGCCGTTCACCTCGCCTACATCCCTAGCTCGGAGGTCCTCGCTCCCGGGGAGGGTAAGCCTGCAATGACTTGCTGATTTCTACTGCTGAGATTGACTGCGAGGCTGTACACTAACCGGTAGGGTTAGGTTGGTAATTTTGTTTGGCTGAGGGCTAACCGAGAGACCTGCCTTTAGGGAAATTCGTGTGGGACATATCTGCAATTCTGGGAAATTATGGGCCCAGTACTAACCCTGTCTCTTATACACATCTAGATGTGTATAAGAGACAGCCGGTAGGGTTAGGTTGGTAATTTTGTTTGGCTGAGGGCTAACCGAGAGACCTGCCTTTAGGGAAATTCGTGTGGGACATATCTGCAATTCTGGGAAATTATGGGCCCAGTACTAACCCGAATTCCTACAGCTACCCTAACTGCGTATAGCAGGCCCGGGCTACCCCTAGGACAGACAGGCCCTAAGCGGCCTATGCTGCTAGACGGTCCTATAGCCTATAGCCGGGTCCGGTAGAGGCCGAGAGGCCGAAACAGCAACGGTACCGGTCGGTCAGTCAGTCCAGTCTAGGTCTAGGTAGTCTATAGATAGGTTAGGCCCATCGGTTCAGGACTTTTGGCAGTTCATTTCTCGCGAAGCAGCGTTGGAGAAGCCAAGCAAGTTGGTGGTGGTGACGGTCTGCAGGCAGCATCCTGAGACGCACCGTGACAGCAGCCATAGCCAGCCCTCTCTGAGTCTGCCATAGCTGGGGCATCCTCAGCGCACCTACCCCTGGGGGTATCTGCTTATGGCCGGGCTGTATCGAGGCTCTACAGTGTGTATTCGTGGGTGGTGGCAGCCATAGCTGCCTGTTCCTTCGCCAGAGTTGTCCATCGGCATTGAAGACTTCACCGCAGGACCTGTTCTTCATCAGGGTGGTTGGCGCTGGCCTCTGGGAGGTCAATCTGATGTGGCGCTACTAACTGGGTGTAGGATAGGGAGTGGAGTGTGAGTCTGAGAGTGGCGAGATACTGGAACAAACTCTGTTACGATAATTGTGTGAGTGGCTCATCATCAGTGTCAGTTCAATTGTGATCTTCACAGGTTCTTTCTTGTGATTGGTTGTTGGGAGTTGTGTCAGAGAGTGAGAAACACTGTGTGTCTCTCCCCATCTGTGCTTGATTGTCGTCCGCTGCTTATTTTCACCTGTGTGCAGTTTGGACTCTGTCTCCTCTCTCCCCTTCTCTTATGCATGTATGGGCATGTGTGAGATTGTCTGTGTCTGAGTGGCGATAAAATTCGTCAGACAACCAAGTTCATAACAAGTCTCTTTTTTCCTTCTCCTATATACGATTTGTGCTGTCTTTTGTTGGGCACAGACTTTCTTGTGCTGTGTCTTTTGTTGGGCACAGACTTTCTCATGGCACAGTAATGCCTTGTGCCAGCTCTTGCAGTTGTGGGGACATCTTAACAGTTTGTGGGACAACCTGAGGCTCACTCTCCAGCCCACCGCCACAGAAGGACGACCAGAGCAAGCGTCAGCTCGGCTGTATGATGATTCAGGGGAGTTCTATCCACACAGTGAAAATCAGTGACGATCTCAGCAACTAGCGTATGAACTGGCAAATGCAGTGGACTTACCAAATAGGTCGCTAATGGGAGCAAGATACCAGCCACACAAATAGCGGTCGTAAACTTTTACAAGGAGTTTCGAGTGCTGCAGTGGGATAGGCATCAGCCAAATCCAAGATGGGAGACAGTAGAGGAGAGAGGGAGGTCTTCTTTGTCCCAAAGTATGAAAAGACAGGGTCTGCAATTCTGGAGTATGTGCCGGAGTCGTTCCATATGGATTTGCATCCTTGCGAGCCGTGGGTTTTGTTTGCAGCTCATCAAAAAAAGTCAGATCAGTTGCCTTTGAATCAACCAAAATGGTCGGTTCAGATGTGGAACTACGAAGATGGGACACGGCTTGCCTCTTGGGACATGTCTGACACAGTGTGGCTATTTTGTCGAGGAAAAGATGCTTCAAGTTTAATGGGAAAATTCATTGCACAGAAAGACTGGATTGTGCTGCGATTCACCTTCTGCTTCCAGGTGTATAAGATCCAAGTATCAAGTTTGCGAACGATCGAACAGCTACAGACCCTGCGGTGGGATTCTCAAAAACTTTTTGATCACACTTCTGCTGGGGGAATGGCTGTCCATTACTGCTCATCCTATTTGCTGACTGGTTTCAGTAATGTTCAGATTATTCTGTGGGATTGGGCCCATAACTGGAAGAAAAAAGCTACATACAAAGGCCATCATACTGGTACTGTTACAACTCTTATGTTCCACCCTAGAAAGTCACATGTCTTTGCAAGTGCCTCTGATGATGGGACAATCAACATATGGGACATGAACAGGGGTTGTGTTTCCCAAACCCTGCAAGATGTCACTGACAAGATGGGCCGTCCTGCGACCATGGAATTTCACTGTGGTCGATGGAGCTCACTTCTGATCACAGGCCATGGTGGTGGTGATCACCAAGTTAGAGTGTGGGACTACGAGAGCGGAGTTTGCGTAACCAGGTTGGCAGGACACAGTGATGCCATCTGCTCGGCCTTCTTCCATCCGCACTTGCCATACATCTTCAGTGCGTCAAGCGATGGAAAATTTAAAGTCTGGAGAGTCGGACTATCACCTTGTGTCATCATTTTGCAGCAAAATGAAATGTCTGTCAAGCATGGCTGCCTCCACAGACCCTAGTAAGGGAGAATTCGAGGTCGTTAAGATGAACAGTACAAGAGAATTCGAGGTCGTGGAGATCCGTACAAGGGAAAAAGAGCATCCAACAGAAGAACTGCGAAAGGAGATGAACAGAATGATAGAAGAGGCAATCCATGCAAGGTATCAAACAGAGCAAGAGGTGGCCAGTGCGGAACTCAAGTACAAGAAAGAACTCGATGCAGTGAGAGCAGACCTCTCTCTCTCTCTCTCTCTCTCTCTCTCTCTCTCTCTCTCTCTCTCTCTCTCTCTCTCTCTCTCTCTCTCTCTCTCTCTCTCTCTCTCTCTCTCTCTCTCTCTCTCTGTGTGTGTGTGTGTGTGTGTGTGTGTGTGTGTGTGTGTGTGTGTGTTCGCTTCCCAAACTTCCTTGTCTACTTCTTGATGTGGCATGGCTGCATTAAGCCTCTGCTTGTTGTGTGAAAAGGTAGCTGACATTTTCATTCACTCTTGAGTTCATTGACACTGGCCTCTTTCTCAAACAGTCAGATTCAATCAACGACATCACGGCTGTCTTGGCAATTGAGTATATCAACACACCTAACCAGCCTGATCACATGCATCCAATAAACTGGCTTGCTCTCCGCCCAGAGAGCAGTGGAACATCGTCCTCTGTGCTCACCCAGTTGCTTAGTAGCATCCTTCCCAACGGGAATATGACGGAGCACCCTGACGGATGCCTTTGATTCATCGACCACGGCACCGTTTGAATTTGAAAGCAATGGTCCGAAGCATCATAAAAAACCTCATGTAACTCGAAGAACCACTGTCAGACGTGATGTGCGACTAAATTGCCACAAACTCGGAGAAACCGATGACTGAGCCGCGGGCCCACAGCACAAATTCCGAGAAAGCAGTGACAAAGCATTCCTGCACCAGCTGGCAGCCAACGGACCTAGCCTGGACCAGCTGGTACATCCACGAACTGTTGAAATTATGACCTGTGTTCAAATCCTGATGGAACAAGAGGAATGAAATTCTTATTTGCATGGGGCTAGTGCCGCTGGTCAGTTCGACGATGATATCTGCAAGGCCAACGCCCTTTTAAGAAGTTAAGAAAAGGATTCCAGTTGGCTCTCGTATCAATCCTTTTCGCATATTACTCCGGTGTCTCCTCGTTACCTTAGTTCATTGTTCTTCGTACCTTGATCGACGGAAAGAAAAGGGCGAATTTGCGAAGACAAAAAAAAGGAAGAGCAAAAAGAGGAATCTAAAGAAGAAAAAAAGAAAAAAAACAGAGGACGAATCAGAGCCCAGAAGCAATATCTCTCACGCAACCAGCTGCCACAAGTTATGCCATCGAGTGGGATCGACTGCTTCAAACTCACGACAGGCTTGGCATGCTCTACCCAAACCAATTGATCCCCTGAAAAAAGTGCTAATGCATGGTCTGTGGAGTTAACAGAGGAGCACGTGGGAAGGGGGTCGTAGTAACGCACAAGCGGATGTCAAATGATGTCATTGTGACATTTGGCATCGCCGCACCACTTTCGAAATGAGCAAAACCAGAACGAACTTCCCGCTAGAACATGGCCAGATGCACCCGCCACATTTTTGTCTTTTTCACATTTCGAGAGTGGTGTGGCGAGGCTCATTGACAGGTTAAACTTTCTTTCTGACTTCGCGGTGGGAAAGGTGCCCTGCTGTGTGGGCAATTAACAGTGCAAAAACTGATGTTAAGAATACTACGCTTGATTTCTCTATGGATCTTCCTCTGGCGCAGCAAGCTGTACTTTTCCTGCAACTCCGTTGAATATACCTAAGATATCGATGTCTGTGTCCATCATGTCTGGACGACTACGTCTGTCCAGACTCGCACAACGCAGCCCCAACGCTGCAACTTCCTTAGCTAGATCCACATCCCAAGAACCTGCATTGGGATCCAGAACGTTTTCAAAAGCGGCAGCATCCTCAATGGCCTCCTCAGTTATTCCAAACGCGTCCATGAAATTCCCCGTGAGCATTTCGAGGACGGTGATACCGAACGCGTAGATATCGGTCTTTTCGTTGTAAACCTTTGTCCTCAAATACTCTGGTGCAATGTACTGAGCATTACGTCCCACAAAAACTCCCAAGGTACGATGCCCCAATGCTTGCACTCCCTTTGTGCATTGGGGGTTAAGCAGGGCCTGCTCAACCTTGCAAATCTTGGCATCAAATTTGCAATCGAGAAGTATGTTTGCTGGCCTGATCGCGCTGTGGATGATGGCACTACCCATGACTGACCGATTGGAATGAAGGAAAGATATTCCTCGAGCAACCTCTGTCATCAAGCGGAAGTGAACATACCAGGGCAGGAATCCCTTAGGCTTAGGGCACCTTTCCCCACATGCAATCCACTCCTTCACGAACTTGCCACGATCAATCATGGTCCGGATACTACTCGTCGCATTTAATTTCATTATCATAACAGGAGTGCCATCACGGAGTTTCGCACGGTAGGTAAAGTCATCGATAGACTTCGCTTTCGAGTCTCTGCTCCATTTCGTCAATCCTTTTCTTGAAATTTGTAACCATGGTCATCCTTTCGGACTCCAGCTGCTGAACTCTCCCCGTTGACTTTTCAAGCTCCTCCACCACCACTGCCTTTTCGGATATCGTGTTTTCCAACTCAATCTGCAGCTGTTTGGACTTTTCGGTAAGCGTTTTACTCTCAGACTCCAGCTGTTGAATCCTTTCTGTACTTACGGTGCTCTCTGATTTCAGATCTCTAACCTCGTCCTCCAGCCGAATGATGTTCGAGGGCATACTCCCACTAACGTTTTGGACTTGTGTCTGGATGTCACTACTGTCAGATACATCCAGAAGTCCATGACTAGATGATCGTGGTCAGCTACGTCCTGTACTTGTGCTCAGATACATCCCGCATCCTAGCATGCATGCAGCGTGTTTGTGACGGCAGAGAGAGATCTGGCCCATCTGGGAGCTTGGTTAGATTTCAACATCAGGGCTTACAGACAGGCCAGGAACAGAGTCTGTGTTGACTGGCAAAGATGAATTCCGTTCTACTTTTTTTTTACTTTTTGTTTTCCAGACGCCTCTGATACTTGCCTCTGTCCCTTCATCTATGTTCCTGTGCTGGACAATCACACATAGGTCTGTCCAATTTGCTGGATTCCTGGAGTTGGCCTCCTTTTTTGGGGAGGGGGTAACTAGGGCGCAGTCAGGATTTCAGTTTCAAATGCACTCCATGCATCCCTGGAATTATACATCACATCCCCACCCAACCCTAACGCTGGGTCGAATACATTCACGATTTTCCTCGCGAAATCATGACTGAAGCGCGTTTTCAAACTTAAACCGTAACAACACCCTTGTTTTCCCTTTTTCTCTTTTTCTCCGTTTTCAACTTATCCCTTCGGTGTTTCTCTTGCCTGCTGTTGCTAGGCCCCTCCACCATCCTGTCGGACCTGTCCCAGATGAGATTTTAAATCCTTTTTTTTTCAGATTTTATTTTTAATAAAATGCCTAAAACCGGATCCACCTTCCCTCACACACGGAGAAACTCACATGAAGCTTGCCCCCCATTATGGCCAAGGGTTCTGAAGCCAGGGGCATTGTTTTGCTTCCCTCTAGTAGGGTAGATTTACCGTTGAATCGGCGTCGATCCACTCCTGTTTATGTTAACACTTTCGGAACCTAGAACTACAATATCCCTCTCTCAGGCTCTCTGCAACTTCAGATCTCCACTCAGCCTTTCTAGAGATGTTTCCCTTGACTGGGTTTCTAAGAGTCTGTTTGTCCTAATGCTATACTGTTCCTATAACCGTCATCGTCTCTTTTTCCTTTTTCTGAAAAAAGTCCCGCAGTCTCACACTTTCAGTTTTGCAAGGGCAAAAATAACATGTGCGGGCAACAAAATCGAGTGCTGAGTTTGAAAAGGGCGATCTCCGAAACAAGTCCCCCGAAGGTAACTCAAACAACCTCTACCATCTTCACCCGAGTAGAACGCCCGGTGATTCTAGCTGTATGTGGGCTGGAAATCGCACCAAATACGGCTGTAATGACCGGGCGTTCTATTCGGGTGTAGATGGTAGGCGTTCTATTCGGCTATTCCTTTTGTGTCGCACTGACTTACTTCACTTTTGGCGCGCACACACATGCTACTCGAGGAAAAGAGGCGTGGATGTAACGGGCGGCTTAAAGGCGCTTCAGATTACATCCCCTTTGTCCCGGGAGAGTTCAGTTTGGGATTTGTTTCTCCTCCTTGGGACTCTAGTTTCAGTTTCAGTTTTTTTTTGTTTTTTGTTGTTTGTTTTTTTTGGTTAACCTTGCCATATATTCCTGTTCAAAGAATGCTAAGCAAAGCGATGTTGCTTTACAAAGATGCTAAAGTTCCTTCTTTTTTTTTCCTTTAAAATTTAAAAGAAGAAAAAAGGGCAACAGCTTTGAGAATCTGATATGATAAAAAAAAAGAATCTGATATGATCAGCGGGCCCGGGTGATTCAGAATTATTTTATTGAATTTCTGTTCGTCTGGAGCGAGATCCCACTACCGATGTATGTGGATTAGTGTTTAAGGTGTGTGGATGCCTGAGGTGTGTGACTGTCAGGCATCGTGGATTTGGCAGGAAATCAGCGGTAGCCTGTTTTTGTGAATTAAGCCCGGGAAAATGATTTTTTTTTGCCTCTCCCATTGGTAGGTTTTTCTTTCGTTTTTGTTGTGGGGGTCCTGTGGCGGTCCCAAACGTGTGTGAAATCACACCCAAGTTTTGTGGTTCATGAAATCACACATGTTTCACTCACGGCGAAGGCAAAGTCGAATGGCTTCACCGCTGGAAATTGATTGTGGTTCCGGAGGTGTTTGGGAGGGTTAGATCCCCTCACCTACAGCAAATGGTGTATGGAGTTACTCCTGCGGAGTCTTGCCCTCCTTTGCCAAAGAGAGTTTCTGTCAGAACAACCAAACAGCGTGCACTGCGGCCTATTTCAAGGAAGCCTCAGACTATTGTCAATGAATATGGTCCGTGTGCCCACTCACATGCAGCCGTCTTGACTGCCACAGCCATGGTCAGCGAATCATAGACTGACATCTGACACCCCGCCTGGAGCAGACACCATCTGTGAGAAGAGCACTTTCTTTTCTTTTCTAGCAGTTTTTTTTTCGTTTGTTTGGTCATGAAATGGTTTTCTGCGTTTGCTTTCCGTATTTCATGCTACCACCCACCTGTCCCCCACCCGTCCCATACCCGTCACACTAATCCCCATACATGGCAAGTGCCATCTCCCTCCTGGATTCGAACTTGGGTCTGGCTGTACTAACTGAGCTAGGTTCTCTTTTTTTTTTTTTTTTTTTTTTTTTTTTTTTTTTGGTTCTCAGGTTGTACTTTTACTATTTTCAAAATTGACCCTGCATATTTGCCTCCACATTTCCACAAAGCTGATTTTCTGATCAGAGAGAAAATGATATCATCTCCATCAAAAAAAAAATTGAAAAAAAATGATATCATGTCGGAGTTTCGTACCGTTTGGCTGGTTGCGGGCTTCCTGTTACGGTAGTCCCTGATTTTCCTGGGCCTACAAGTATCTTCGAGCTGCCTCCACAATTTAAATAGGCCTCTCACAGATAATTCACACACACAAAAAAAAAGGGGTAACTCCGGCGCAGTCACCATTTCCGGCACCCCTTGAATACAACACATCCCCACCCGACCCTAAGGGTGGGTTGTATACATTCACGATTTTCCTCGGTTTGACACGACATTCGCGAAATCGTCGTGACTGGAACACATTTTCAAACTGAAACCGTGACAGCGCCCTAGTTTAAATTTCCTCAAAAAAAAAGAAAGTAGCTTGCTGCAGTGCAGTACCACCGGTAACCGTTCACGGTCACGGGGTCTGTGACCGTCACGACAATCGTGACCGTTCGGTGTTCATGGAGTTCATGATACGCGGGGTCGGGTTTTCTTTTTTTTGTTTTGGCGGGGGGGGGGTGGTTATTTTTTGGCAGGTGTGTAGCAGTGTACCTGGTGCCCATGGGCTTTTATTTTTTATTTTTTTCCCAATCGGAGAATATATATATTTTTTATCTATGAATAATTGAAAATAAAATTAAAACATTCACTTTTTGCCTGTGTTTGGCTTTGGCCTTGCTTGCCTGAAGGCCCCATTGAGGTTATTATTTGGCACTTCAAAAAAACAAGAAAAATAAAACAACGTGTCAACGTAGGCGCCGCGCCATTTGGCCCCTGAAGGACAAGGTCCACATTTCCCGATTGGCCTCCCACCCGGTAGTGTTTGGGGCGGCGGTGCAATAAAGCACCACGTAGGATCCCTTGCCTCCCTTGTTTTTTTTTTTTTTTTTTTCAGATTTGAAGTCACGGGGGTGCACCCCGCCCCCACGCAACCCCCCTCCCACCCCGATCCCGACATACCCATGTGCCACGTGGCCGGAAAATCCATGAATGGCCCCCGTGAACAGCCGTTCATGGAAATAGCCCCCAGTGACCGGCCGGACACAGTCACGGATACGGAAATGGCTTGCTGCTTGATATTTTTGCTCAATGCATTTGAGTTCCCGCAGTTGTCATTGAGTTCTGGCTTCAGACTCTTTGCATGTGAGGAAGCAATGTTTTCTTTTTCTTGTTGGTTGCAGATCCTTAGGTTTGTTCTTCTTTGGTTTAGCCAGTCATTTCCTGGCAAAGCCTTGTACATGACTAGCCATAAGAGGCTGCTGAGCTTGCACTATGAATCTGGTCTGTTTATGGGCCAGATTCATGATCCGGTAGTGTTGCATACTTCAATGAGTATGGGCAGAACCAAAGATCAACCAATGTAGGATGAGCATATATGCAGCGGAAGTCTGATAAACGGACTGACTCACATAGACTGACTCACATAGATTGACTCACATAGCATCACTCCACACACATACAATCGTGAGGTGGTGGGGGTCTGAGCCATTCATAGAAGATGCTCAGCCCCGTACACACATACACAGATGAATGGGGGAGGAGAGACGAAGAGGTGGCGGAGGTAGACAGCACCGAAAGTCACCGAGATAGGATCTGATAGGTCACCGATATGGTAGTCCAAAATGTCATCCAACAAGATAAAAAATGTCGAGGACCATAGGTCACAAATGTCGGGGATACAGAGTCCAAATGTAACCGGTGTCTGAACTGTGATGTCGCCAAGTACCAACCCCAACGATCTCCCAGTCTCCAATCTGGTAAGCACCACAGTCTCATACCACCGAAGTCCAATACCGATCTCTGTCCAACTAGTATAAGTCTCTAGTCTGAAGAAGAAGAAGAAGAAGAAGAAGAAGAAGAAGAAGAAGAAGGAGGAGGAGGAGGGGAGAGAGAGAGAGAGAGCTGACGAGGGAGGGAGGAGAGGTCCTCCGCTCCCAGGTACCTCAGGTGGCAGTGGACGCCGTGCTGGCTCAGTCGCCCTGCTGCTGCTCCGCTCGCCGCTGCGCTAATGCTGCGCTGCCG